GAAAGTGCTCTTTATTCAATAAACACTGGAAAAACACTGGAAATAACTTGTATCTAAAGCCTTTGTCCACATGGAGCAGTAATGTAGACCTTTTGGGGTGCGACTTCTAATGTGCACTAATGTGTTGTACATTAATTGGTCTGTGTAGACCCTTCTGTGGCACACTAAAGATTCCCCAGTGAACTTTAATGTGCTCCTATTTGAAACAGTGCTATGTTAGAGCTCACTAAGGGACATTACAAAGAGATTACTCACTGCAGTTTATAGTAATATAATCAGTAATGTAATATATTACATTATACTATATGCATTACTCATACTGCATGTATAAAGAGAAGGTCTTTAAAAACCTTGGTGTCTGTATATCTACATAAAATTCAAATATTGCTAAAAATGAAACTAATCAACATTCTCAAACAACAGTCCTACAATCATTTGTCACTGATTAGGTCATAGTAGAAATAACATAGGATTGGTTTAGCTTATACAAGAAGCAACTCTGCTCTGACACCCTCCCTTCCACTCTCTGCCTATGACTGCGCAACTCCTCTCCCCATCCCGGCCTCCCCCCTGTTCTGGATCCCACATCTCCACTGCACTGCTCTGCCACCCTCTGCTCTGGACTCCATAGGCAGGGAATAGGAGTGTCGGGTGTACTGCAGCACTCCAGGATTTTGGTGTCCTGGACTTGTGCTCCTGGAGTTAGGAGTCCCAGCTGTTGGCCCTGAGCTGTAATTCCCAGAGTCCTGGTTGCTGGGCTCGCTCTTACTTGGATGCTGGCTCAGCACCCAGCTTGACTCCAGGGTCCTGTTCAGCTACCAGCCCCATGCACAAGGGCTTCGCTGCTGGTCCCCACATGCAGGGTCCTACCTGGACCTGGAGTACTAGTCACTGGTGTGTTCCTGGCTGCTGGCCCCAGCTCTAGGGGGCAAAGAGGGGTGTGGACTGATCTAAAGGGGGGGGGGGGGCGGGACACAGCTCAGCATCCCAATACCAAAACCTGTTCTGATGCCATTTCTGGACTCCCCTCCCTACCCCTTCTTCCTGTGTCTTGTACCACTGTGTAACTCCTAAACCTTCCTCCTGTCCTCTACCTCTCACTACACTGTTTCCCCTTTCTATTCCCTAGCCACCTTTCACAATGTCTTCCGCAGAGTTCTAGTATTCCTCAGTCCCTGTGCGTTACCTAAACTCCTGGACCATCGAATGGCAGCCAACCTGGCTTCAGATCAGACTCCTTGGAAATAGTGAGGCAGCAGCCAACCTTATTAAAGCAGTCTCACATGCACATACAGGTTATTCTGTAGGAAAAATTGTGACCATCTTGCTGGCTTTAGCCCCATTGGCAGTAATTTCTTTTGAATAAAAGGAAATTCCATGCATTTTGGGCCTTTCTTCATGTTTTCATGAGACTATGATTACCAGCTAGCTAGCGTGAACAATCAGGATGGGTCTGGGTGGGGATTAGGTAAGACAAAGCTTTGAATATTGGGACTGTCCCCATAAAATTGTGACATTTGGTCACCCTACATGAGACAAATGAAAACCCCATCCCAAAAGCCCCAGAGTCTTGATGAAACTCTTAGAGTTGGCAATATCACATATGAGTCCATAGCTGGAGATGTGTTAATCCTTCTAGCAACAGGGGGACAAATTCCAACTGGCCTTTAGAACATGGTGTGTCCCAATTATACACTGTAACTATTTAAAAAGGACATTCATGCCATCTATATTCAATTTATGTCAAGGAACAAAGAAAAGATGTCTGACAAAAGCTTTTTCTGTTGCAAAATAAGTTTTGTTGACTTTAAAAGATGGATAGACAGTCTCCCTTTAATTTCTAAAAGGTGTTACTCATGATTATAATTTTCTTATACCAAACTAGTCGTAGTATAATTTTCAGAAGCTCTTAGCTTTGGCCTGGCTGTGCTCCCAGTGAAGTTTGTGGGGTAACTCCTTTTTAATTCAGTGGAAGCAGAATTAAGAGAATTGTGTGTGCATCTGACAATTCTATCCTGTATATATCTTAAAGTGCATAAACATCTGGACAACTTAAAATTTGTGTATATATACAATCCCAAAGCTCTGCAGAACTAACTCCTTTGCTCTTGACATGTTAGGCCCCAATTTTGCAAAAGTTTATGCATGTACTTAGCTACCACTGATTTCAATGGGACTAATTATAGTAGAAAGGCTAAAGCACTTGCATAAGTAATTGCAGGACCGATGTCTTTCTTCCCATTATCCTGAACTGTCCTATATTTGATACCTAGATAAATACCTAGTGCCTGATTCTCCATTACCCTAGACCAGAGGCTCTCAAACTGTGGGTTTCAACTTCATTTGAATGGGATTGACAGGCCCGGCATTAGATTTGCTGGGGCCTGGAGCTGAAACCCAACTAACCCCTCCTCCCCCAATGCCTGTAGCCAAAACCCCAGGGCTTCGGTCAGGGGCAAAGGGACTCAGGGTTTAGATTCAGCTCCATGTAGTAGGGCTTATGTTACAGCCCCCACCCAGGGTTGAACCTTTGGGATTTGGCTCCCTTCCTCCTTGGCCAGGTGGTAGAGCTTAGGCAGGCTCATGCTTCAGTCTCCTTGCTTGGGGTCATGTGTGACGGCGCGTTGGGGTCCCCCTCTCCTGCACCCCGAAATGGCATGAACAGACTCCACCAGCCGGTAGAATGGAGGTAGTTTATTGCTTCTCCAGGATATAGCACAGCACAGATGTAATCTGGTTACAGGAACTGGGGCTAAGAGGCCTCAGTGCCCCCTTGAGATGGGGGAGTCCCAGCCCCCCTCCCCAGCTCCTTCTCCCCTGCTTTCCAGACAGGAACTAAACTAACTCTCCTCCAGCCCTGCCCCCCAGCCAGGGCAGCATCCCCCTTCCTTTGTTCCTCTCCATGGGGGTTAGCTGGTCAGACAGGTTGAGAGATCCCTTTGCATAATGACTCATCACCTGTCTTGCTCGGTGGTGCTGCAGACAGTGGCCAGTGAGTTAGCAAGTTACCCCCCACTACGTCACATCATGTAGTAATTTTTGTTATCAGAAGGGGGTCACAGTGCAATGAAGTTTGAGAATCCCTGTCTTAGAGCATGTGCAGATATTTACACCATGCCAAATAGGAGTAAAATGTCTACAAAGGTGCAGGGAAATACAGGATCAAGCTATTAAATCCTGTAGCTATGGATTGGAAATAAACTTATATTACAGTGCCCCTAGATGAAAATGTTTATGCTGTTTCCCTTTAAACGTGCTGTGTATATTGATAAGCTAGCCACAGAGTTCCCGTGTGATGTTGGTAAAGTCACTTAAACCAAACTGTTCACAGCTGGCCACTAACTGTGCATTGCTCATTTTTGGGTGCCTAACATTAGTAGAAATTCTAAGTGCTCACAACTGCAATTGAAGTCCAGGGATGTTTTTCTTTGAATGTGTAAACTGCTATGCAAATACCAAGTATTATGAAAAAATTAGGCCTCTAGTTGGGCATCCAAAATTAATGAGACCCTTTACAATTTGGGTCTCTCATTGACTCAGTCCTCCAACTGTAAAGATAAATGTATTTATTATTTGTGAGGTACTCAGATATTGTGATGACAAATGCCACAGAAAAGTCTATAAAATCTTAATAGTATTTTATTTAGTGCAGACGCAGAGCATTAAATAGCCCTAATGCCACACCTGAAGATATGGATAAAATAAATATAGCATAGCTACTGATTAAATGAGCACCATTTATCTGTGCACTGGATGAGGCAAGTAGGTGAGAAAAGAGTATGTGAACAGATACTTAAATATTGTAGCATATTGCTTATGCACAAGAGGACTGAACTAAGATAGTATAGGCAGAATTTTGTCCCCAAAAGAGAGAAATGTGACAGACTCCATGAAGTCTGGTAAGGACTTTGATATTGAGATAGATTTTATGTGGAAGGTGCTCTGATAGTATGGTCATAAGCCGCAATGTAAAATTATAAGATAGAATGTGAATTATGGAATTGCCTAGTTTTGAGAGCTTGATTTTATAACCATGCCCTTCTTTGAATGTAGTTTTTCGGTCTGTAATAACATTTATATACAGAAGGGCAAAGCAGGCAGTGCTATTTTCTTTAACAGCACTCTTTACTCAGCTCTGTTCCAACTGTCTTTTTTTCAGGTAGCCCTACAGTGATTTATAAAGGGAGAATTCATGTCACATTCTAAAAAAAAAAGAGAAAGAGAACTTTGTACACATCCATCCTTCCTGTTTTCTATAAAGAAAAAAGTTAGGGCTGCTAGAAGTCCATGTTTAAATAAAGAGGGCATTTAGAGTAAATGAATGCAAGTAGGTGTAGGTCACTAAGAGTGACCTTAGTCCCAAATTTAAACTGGTTTCCAGTTTTGGAGAATTACACTGAGATGGTTTGGACTTAAGAAATGTGCCTTCATTTTTCTAACTATTTTTAAGTAACCAGCCCTTCCCCCCCATATTGCCATTTAGGTAGCTGAGCACAAAAATATTATGGGTTTGTGATTGGCAAGAACTGGCATGGGGGTGATGCAGCCCAACAAATGTAACAGCTGACTAAGACTACAGTTTTATGCATGTGCACATACACCGCCATGGACTATGTGTTTGGGTAAATGGATTTTATCTGATGAAGAGAAAACATGTTGCTTAAAGCACAATGAATTTATGGTAAAAACTAAAGTCATTTGAATTTTAAAATCCAGTTTTATTTTATATAACTAAAGTGGACTACTACTACGTCTTGCATGCATAAAGGGTTGAAAATATTTTGTACAGAAATTTATAGCAATTCTTATTAAGGAAACGTTATTTGTATTCTATATGGAAATTAGATGGTATGGCGTGGCTTTATGCATGAGGTTTGGAACCCCTGAGTACTCTTTAGGGAACAGGAACAGCTGATTTCTTCATTTGCAAGCCAGAAATCTGACAGCCACAGATGTGAACTAGTCCAGCTTTCGGTATAGAAACTATTTGCCAATGCCAGAATCCAGGCAATTAAGTGGGTTCCCCTCCTGGTAACCTGGTATTTAGCCAGGCTGTCAGAAGCATATAAGCTATTCCAGGCTTAAAAAGGGCTGAACATGATAGAATACCTGAAGCCTTTTCCTGGAAAAAGAATAAGAACAAAGATAGTTAAGGAATTGAGATTATATACTGTAAATTTGTTTCTTTGATTTCCCTATGTGTCTGCCCGAGTTGACTAGTGATGTACTGCAGGAATGACAGATAAATAGATCTAAGTGCAAATTTTCTGTGTCCTGTTTAAAATTGACTCTATCTTGCAGTACTTTTATTTATTTGTTTGTTATTCTTAAGATATGGAGCTGTTTATCCAGTCATGCATCAGTAACGCAGTACAAAACAAGTCCCTCCCTTTGTTTACCTCTCTTTCTTGTCTAATAATAAAATTAATGCTTACCTGTCTCCTGCATGGAGTGTCAATTTTTTATCTGTGTGAAAGAAATGTATACATCAGCTTTATACTGTATTCCACTGTTCTTGTTTTTCACCAGCATTAGAGGTTACCAAAATCAGAGATTGAAGAGTTAGCAGTTCTACCTGGGGAGACCTTCTGTTTGTTACTCCTCCATGTTTAGTCAGATTAATAACTTTATGTCCCCTTGAGCCTCCTCCTTTGGACCTTCATCTGTATCCACAGTGACAATGGGTTGATTCTCCTCTTGAGCAAGGTGTAAATGGCAAATAATTCCAGTGAGGAAGTCAATGGTGTTACACCTATATAAAATGGGCATAAGGGAGTGCAAATCAGGTCTAATGATATTAAAGCGCTCATGTTCAGCATATCTATTTATATTTCATTGTGTAATACTATATCTCACAGTTAAATTATGGTGAAAAGTTGAAAGCATAATTGCAGCCATTTAGATGCCTTATAATCTGATTCAAAATCAGCAAGTTAGACAACTGCACTGGCAGTTTTGCACTGTCAGCGCTGGAAGGTTTTCTAAAAAATGTAGACCAAAAATGCAAGAATCCATGTGTGAATCTGGCTCCATTGTACAAACACACAAACAAACCACAGAACTTAATAAATGTAAATAAAACTAGAAACAAACCATTTAGACAGATGGAATTATAGGGGTTGCCATATCAGATCAGGCCAAATCCTGTCAAGCCCAAAATCTTGCCTCTTGTCTGTCTCTTAGGGTAGGTCTGTACTAGCCCCCTAGTTCGAAGTAGGGAGGCTAATGTAGGCATTCGAAGTTGCAAATGAAATCTGGGATTTAAATATCCCAGGCTTTATTTGCATCTTCCCGTTCGGGCACCATTTTTAAATCCCCTTAGTTTGAACTAACTGCCCGCGACTACATGCGGTAGTCAAAAGTTAACTCAAACTAAGTCCTTAGTCTGCGGAATGAGGTGTAACAGTTAACTCGAACTAAGGACTTAGTTCGAGTTAACGTTTGACTGCCGCGTGTAGTCGCGGGCAGTTAGTTCGAACTAAGGGGATTTAAAAATGGCGCCCGAACGGGAAGATGCAAATAAAGCCTGGGATATTTAAATCTCGGGCTTCATTTGCAACTTCGAATGCCAACATTAGGATTCCTAGTTCGAACTAGGGGGCTAGTATAGACATAACCTTATTGAGGCTCATCAGGAGACAGTAGCTGAACTTCTTTTGGGTATGTCTACACTACCCCCCTAGTTCGAACTAGGGGGCTAACGTATGCATACCAAACTTGCTAATGAAGCCCGGGATTTGAATTTCCCGGGCTTCATTAGCATAAAGCCGGCTCCGCCATTTTTAAAAGCCGGCTTGTTCGAACCCCGTACCGCGCGGCTACACGCGGCACGGGCTAGATAGTTCGAACTATGTAGCCATTCCGATCTATCTGTACACCTCATTCCACGAGGCGTACAGATAGATCGGAATGGCTACATAGTTCGAACTATCTAGCCCGTGCCGCGTGTAGCCGCGCGGTACAGGGTTCGAACAAGCCGGCTTTTAAAAATGGCGGAGCCGGCTTTATGCTAATGAAGCCCGGGAAATTCAAATCCCGGGCTTCATTAGCAAGTTTGGTATGCATACGTTAGCCCCCTAGTTCGAACTAGGGGGGTAGTGTAGACATACCCTTTGAAATTAATCCAACTTTTTTCTTTCAGGCCATTTCACTTTCAGGTGAGGCTAGATTATATTGCGTAGATGTTAAGAGGATCTTAAACTACGACCTGATCTATAAGATCATAAAAATCTAGGGCCTGAAGGACCCTTAAGAAGTCATCTAGATTATCCCCCTTGCACTGAAGCAGGATTACATATTTCATAATACAAGGATAGGCAATAACTTTTGATGAGGGCCACTCTATGAATTTGATAAGTGGTCAAGCTCTGTGCTTTTATTTGTTAATGGTCTGGGATGAAAAAGAGAACTTGCAATAGGTAATTGGGGTGCAGGATCTAGAAAAGAGTTGTGACCAGGGTCAGGGGTGTTGGAGGTTGGGTTTGGGTTGTGACATAGGTCGGGGGGAGGGGTGACCTGGAGTAAGGGACTGGGGTTCATGAGAAGGTATAGTTTCTGGAAGAGAGTTTGGATGCAGGAGAGGATTCTGACCTGGAGGAGAGGTGTGGAGGGAGTGGGGGGTTAGGGAGGATGTTGTGACTTGGGGGAGAGGTCCAGGAGGAGGTATAGAGGGTTTAGGCTGGGAATTGGGGGGAGGGAAGGAAGGAATTGCTATGTGCAGGTTATGGTTGGGAGATGCTTACTAATGGTGGCTCCCAGCCAACAGCCCAGTGGGACCCTCTGATAGGCTCCCTGACTGTCATGCCCCCATACACCACTCAAAGCAGCAAACTCCTATGGCCAGCATTTGCATCTCTGCATTCATGGCCCAGGCAGCTTCCATTGGCTGACTTCCAGCCAACTGGAGCTGCAAAATTGAGCTGAGGTGGAGGCAGTGTGCAGAGTCCCCAATCACCAATGGGCGTGCATGGCTCCCGTAGCTGGCTGCTCTGAGTTGAATATGGGGGTGTGGAAGCCAGAGAGCCCATCAGAGGGTCTTGTTGGGCCAGGATAGATCTATCCCATGGACCATATTTTGCCCATCCCTGTTGCAATAACTGAATAAAAGTGAGATCTCTGGGAAAACACTTTATTTTTATAGGAATCATAGTATACATTAGTTTCTGCTTGGAGACCATTGAAATGGATCAGAACCTGCATGGCGTTTTACTGTGAGCTACTTGGGCATTTTCACTAGATCAAAAGAAACCTATACTGCATTTCTTAGTCATCAATAGAGAGATACAAAGACGTGTACCTGGCATTCCATTACTTTAACAAACTATAGTCTCTGGACTTAAACTTTAGATTGAATCTCCTTTGTAGGAGCATCATGTTCTTATGCCTAAGTGCATCACTTGCAGTAGGGGTTGAAATAGGTAATGATCTTGAAGAAGCATTGCTGCTCTGGTTCTTGTTCTTTAGAAAGTCAGCATCCTAATATTTCTCTAGGATTAGAACAAAAAAAAATCCATTGCTTTGCAATAACTTTGGGTAAATGCTCATTTTATTAATGGCAAAGACCATTGCTGTTAGAACAGTGAATCACGGCCTCATCTTGTATAAATTTTGATGTAGTTCCCACTGGTGCTATGTTGATACTCAGCTGAGGTCTGGAATTTTAACTTTTCCCATTTGCTGACCTTTTTTTGAATATTAACTGTGCAATCCCTGAGTTGAATTGCATTCAGGCATTTAATTCCCTTTCTCTTTTGCTTGCTGCTTTTGAAAGCAAGGGGAAGAAAATAGATTGCCTCTGATCCAAAATGATGGCAATTAAATCATCTTAATTGTGCTCTGCTCTTCAGAGTAGATCAAGGTGCAAGGAATGTGGAGGGATGAAGTCCCACATTTGCTATTGCTATTGCTTGGCTGGAGCCATTAGGCTGGGTTAACAGGGAAGTAGCGTATCAGTTCACATTATGCTGGCTATATCTCCACAGTAGACAAAGAAAGAAACATGCACACACAAAAGTATAACTCTTGCAGATTATTGTAGCAAAAATTGTTGAGAGAAAATAAGAGTGGAATCAATAATTATTTTCAGATTTTTCACCTGTCCAAAAGTTAAGGCAGATATTTTCCTGTGTTTCAGTGAGACTGTTTCAACCTCCTTTTGTTAATTGTTCCAGCTGCAGAGTGAGAGCAGCTGGCCCTCTCCCTGCTAGTCTATTAAATCTAGTCTCAATGTTCATTAAACACTATCACTATGCTACAGTATCTGGAACCTACCAGAACTATAAAAAGATACAATCTGAAGACTATATTTTGCTCCAAGACCATGTGGTGCATTGTGCAGGCTGACTGATTTTCTGATAGATGGGTGAGGAAAAATGAAATATGTGGTGGTGGTGAAGTGGCTGTAATTCATTAAGAAATACTAAAATCAGAGCAGATGCTGCACAAAGTATGCCCGGGATCAATTTTTTATTTGTTGGTAATATCTTAAATGTTTACCTTCAATCCACTAAAGAAAGAACTGTTCCTAGAGAATGACTGCGCAAATGCAAGGTTTCAAACTTCCAGCTATTTTTCTTGTATCACTGTTCAAAAATAGATCTGTTAGAATTGTTTGACAATGGAAAAACCATGTGGGTGCGCTTCACAATTGAACAATTGAAGAGCTTTCACTCAAACCACGTTAAAAAAGAAAGGTACAGGCACACAGTACCAATAGGTATTATGTCACCGAATGCCTGTGCTAATAGCTGGGTTATGCCTCTGAGCATGTCCACTGTGAAGCAGGTATTTCCAGAATAGGGATGCCAACCTTCTTTTTGCAGAAAATCTTTGACCTGCAACATTCCTAAAGCCCTGCCCCAGTCATGCCCCTTCTCCGAGACTGTCCCAGGGAGTTGTGGTGTGAGGATTCCAGCTGGGGCTGCACATCTGCGGGGAGAGGGAAGAAATGCAAGGTTTCTGTGTGGGACGGGGCTCCAAGCTTGGAGTTGAGGCTAATACAGATCTTTGGGCTACAGTGCCCCTCTTTACCAACAATAACAGATCTTAGGCATAGGAAATATTAACTTGCAAGCCTGTCTGGAACATTTCTGAGTAAGTAGCTCTCCCGTTGTTTTCTTAAGGACCTTTGATATTTTTTTCTGGTAGAATCTTATCTTTGTCATTGTTTCTTGACTTCCTTTGTAAAGCCCTTTGAGATCTACTAACAATATAAGAATTAATTCTTATTGTGACTGTTATGCTGATATCTTTGGGAGATATTATTCTGTTAAATTTGTTTATCATTATTGGCCAGGGATTGTATGTAATTCCATGGTGGAGAATGACCACAGACTTCAATATCTTGGGAGAAGTACCATAACCTGTAGAGGCTTGGCTATACAAACTCAAACCAGATTCTCCAGAGACCAACATAAAAAAGAAAAGGAAGGGAAAAAAGAAGAGAACTTTGGATAAACAACCTAAATTTAACTCTGACTTCCAGCCTTCCTTCTGATCCAGAAAACAGACAGGAGCTTTTTGGTCAACGGGTTCTCAAACCCTTCCTAGGAAGAATTAAAAGAAATTTGGCTTACTGAGGCCCCCCAAGATTGATGAATTACCTCCAATAAGCTTTCAGCCTGCATATAGGAACTTGTATTCCATGTATAAATATTAGAAGCAGCACATTTCAGTGAATGGGATATGAAACTAAGGGTATGTCTAGACTACATGCCTCTGT